CGTGCGCCCAAAAGTACATCACACCCTTCAACAGGGACAGACCCCTAAGAACTGAAGAAGGATTGACCAGGATCCTTGCATTATGCACCTGAACATTGCAACTTGCAAATGGTGGTTTTCCTTTATTTCGGTGGACAAAAACAACATGTTTCAAATGGTTGCAAAATGTATCGTTTAAGGAGCCCTGATTCATGAATCGGACAACCAGCTCGCGAAAAATGGAAAGCGCATTGCTCTTGCAAGCGGAGCCGGGCATGCGTCACGGTTCTCCACGATCCGGATCCGCGGCAACATCCCCAGCATCCGCTGCAACAGCAGTAGCATCACCAACGCCCACGAGCGGCACTGGGTGCGCGCCATCACGAGCAACGCAACCAGCGCTGGCGTTGCTGGCAACAGCATGTGTGCCAGAGGCAACCAGCTTGTTCCGCCCGAATGCTGACAGGACTCCTGCCATGACTGTGGACAGAAAATGCTTTGGGGGCAGTTGGCAACTCAGAATATGCAGCTACCGTGGTATCGACCCAAAGGCTGCTTTCCGTCACTATACAAAATTTCAAAATATGTCAATATCCTAAGGTAAGGGGCCCCAAGTAAAGAACCTTCGTCGTTCAACATGGTGAGCTCGATTTACGGGTGAGAAAAGTCAACAGGAACAAAGGATTAACTCCATCCCCTGCGCCGCCCAAATCCCTGCCACGGTAACCCGTATCTCCGACAAATGGGGTGCACGGACGCAGCCCTTCCCACTGTTGGTCCCGCTCAGGTAAGCCAAGGGGCGAAGCGGAACATGGTCCCACAATGTCCCACAGGCGAGTGACGTGCTGCGAGCCGAAATTGCAAGGCATGGAAAATCTTTCAGAAAGCTCCAGGAAGCACAGCGACCGATTCATCTGACTTGCCCAACTGGCGGGGCAAAAAAAAAGCCAACAACAATCAAACTTTCAAGCTCCTGGCAGGTAAAGAACCCTGAAGCAAAGCAAAGCTTCAATACAGTTTGAATGATTCCCCTATTTTTCCACTTTATTCTTTTTAAAGAAAGAAAAAACTGGCCCAAGCCTTCAGGCCCGCAAGATCCCACAAGCCAGTGCCCCTTCTGAAACAAAACCGTCCATCCGAAGTGATACTGTTCTTGAAGGACTTGCGTCAAAGGGTTTGGTCGATTGTCTTCTGGCAAAAACCGTCCATGCATCCTAAGTGATACTGATCTTGAAGGACTTGCGCCAAAGGGTTTGGTCGATTGTCTTCTGGCAAAAACCGTCCATGCATCCTAAGTGATACTGTTCTTGAAGGACTTGCGCCAAAGGTTTTGGTCGATTGTCTTCTGGCAAAAACCGTCCATGCATCCTAAGTGATACTGTTCTTGAAGGACTTGTGCCAAAGGGTTTGGTCGATTGTCTTCTGGCAAAAACCGTCCATGCATCCTAAGTGATACTGTTCTTGAAGGACTTGCGCCAAAGGGCTTGGTCGATTGTCTTCTGGCAAGAACCGTCCATGCATCCTAAGTGATACTGTTCTTGAAGGACTTGCGCCAAAGGGTTTGGTCGATTGTCTTCTCCACATCCTAAGTATTGTGTTCTTGAAGGACTTGCGCAAAGGGTTTGATCGATTGTCTTCGTCCATGCATCCTAGGTGATACTGTTCTTGAAGAACTTGCGCCAAGGTTTTGGTCGATTGTCTTCTGGCAAAAACCGTCCATGCATCCTAAGTGATACTGTTCTTGAAGGACTTGCGCCAAAGGGTTTGGTCCATTGTCTTCCGGCAAAAACCGTCCATGCATCCTAAGTGATACTGTTCTTGAAGGACTTGCGCCAAAGGGTTTGGTCGATTGTCTTCTGGCAAAAGCCGTCCATGCATCCTAAGTGATACTGTTCTTGAAGGACTTGCGCCAAAGGGTTTGGTCCATTGTCTTCTGGCAAAAACCGTCCATGCATCCTACGTGAGCCTAAGTGATACTGTTCTTGAAGGACTTGCGCCAAAGGGTTTGGTCGATTGTCTTCTGGCAAAAACCGTCCATGCATCCTAAGTGATACTGTTCTTGAAGGACTTGCGCCAAAGGGTTTGGTCGATTGTCTTCTGGCAAAAACCGTCCATGCATCCTAAGTGATACTGTTCTTGAAGGACTTGCGCCAAAGGGTTTGGTCGATTGTCTTCTGGCAAAAACCGTCCATGCATCCTAAGTGATACTGTTCTTGAAGGACTTGCGCCAAAGGGTTTGGTCCATTGTCTTCTGGCAAAAACCGTCCATGCATCCTAAGTGATACTGTTCTTGAAGGACTTGCGCCAAAGGGTTTGGTCGATTGTCTTCTGGCAAAAACCGTCCATGCATCCTAAGTGATACTGTTCTTGAAGGACTTGCGCCAAAGGGTTTGGTCGATTGTCTTCTGGCAAAAACCGTCCATGCATCCTAAGTGATACTGTTCTTGAAGGACTTGCGCCAAAGGGTTTGGTCGATTGTCTTCTGGCAAAAACCGTCCATGCATCCTAAGTGATACTGTTCTTGAAGGACTTGCGCCAAAGGGTTTGGTCGATTGTCTTCTGGCAAAAACCGTCCATGCATCCTAAGTGATACTGTTCTTGAAGGACTTGCGCCAAAGGGTTTGGTCGATTGTCTTCTGGCAAAAACCGTCCATGCATCCTAAGTGATACTGTTCTTGAAGGACTTGCGCCAAAGGGTTTGGTCGATTGTCTTCTGGCAAAAACCGTCCATGCATCCTAAGTGATACTGTTCTTGAAGGACTTGCGCCAAAGGGTTTGGTCGATTGTCTTCTGGCAAAAACCGTCCATGCATCCTAAGTGATACTGTTCTTGAAGGACTTGCGCCAAAGGGTTTGGTCCATTGTCTTCTGGCAAAAACCGTCCATGCATCCTAAGTGATACTGTTCTTGAAGGACTTGCGCCAAAGGGTTTGGTCGATTGTCTTCTGGCAAAAACCGTCCATGCATCCTAAGTGATACTGTTCTTGAAGGACTTGCGCCAAAGGGTTTGGTCCATTGTCTTCTGGCAACAACCGTCCATGCATCCTAAGTGATACTGTTCTTGAAGGACTTGCGCCACAGGGATTGGTCGATTGTTCCGGGTAGGGCCCCTGAGATTCGCCTGGTGAATTATAAAAAAAGGGGTGGCCCCAGCAAAGGATTCCGTTGGAACATCCGCTAGAATCAACAGATGAGGAAGCTCGGCTTCCTGGAGAAACCAGGCGGTCGCATGGTCACTTTGCCGTAACTGCTGAAGAGGCTCGAAGCCGCACCCGCGCACCTTTTTAAAGAAGGCCTTTTCAGCACATACGCGACCGAGGCAAGCCCCTAAGGTGGCATGTGGAACTGGTCCAATAATGCGACTTCATGTCTAGGATGATTGCCAGGTGTGAGTAAATAGAGTGCAAGCTGCCCGAAATGGCTGCATCCTGCCACGGAAAACCAAAAAAGACATCGCAGTTTGCACCGAACATCAACTGACAAAGTAAACTAGTCTGAAAGCCGAGCATATCATCGTGATGATATGGAAACGGCATTGTCAGGTATGGGGTTTGGAGCTATGACACATTATATTTGCCACCTGTATAAGAGGTACATAATGTCTTACAAGCCTATATCGGTCCGCAACATTGCAAGCATATCAGCATACAAGCATCCATACCTCCAAAACCCCCTGAGCTGGGAAATGGACTACCACCGCTTCTTCAGGCGCCGGGGCTGGTTGCGCCTGTCCTGCTGCGCCTCAGGAAAAAAGCCCGAGGTACCCACACGGCGCCAGTAGCCTCGGGAGATCTCTTCTGGTTTCGCTTGGATTCGTGTTTGCTTGCTTCGTGTTCTTCAGTGTTCTACATTTGTGTTGGTTGTTGTGGTGTCCTTTTTGTGGGGGATGGTTGCAGAATGGAGTGTCAACGCTCCGAATTCCATTTTTTGTTGCACGGAAACCCTCAAAATCATATATTGGTTGTTCATGCAACACGCCTTCCCAAAAATGGTTTGTAGATACGGTGTCTTATCATCGGCCGAAAGAAAACCGGATCGAGCCATGAGTGGATTGGCCTGAAAACATCCAAACTTGTTGTTTACCCCGAAAATGGGCAACCCCAAAAACTTTTACTAAAGTCTCGGAACGCAGGGAGTGAGGTGAGGGAAACCAAAGCTCTACCCTTTTGCTAGGTCATCTTTGAAGGCTCGGAGCATCTCCGGGTGGCGCACTGCCGGCTTCGCATGTGCAAGTTTGATCAAACAAGCTCCAAGACTTGGCTGCTGCAACGACCCATCTGCAGAAGGTTTGTTTTAAAACACAAACCTTTTTGCGGATCCGATAGAAAACCCTCGGTTCTCAAATAAAAAGTCCAAAGATCCAACTGAACAGCCGCCTCTATGACTTGTTCCCATCCAAAGAAAGGCTTGGACTTCCATTTCCGGGGTTCCTGCAAACACGCCCATACCAACCGCTAGGATGTGGTTTTTCGAGCAAAGGCGGCGAAAGGCCAAGAGTCAAAAAACCAGAAACGGATCCCCATACTGTGGATGGTTGCGAAATCCATTTCGCACCACCGTTCAGAAACTCTGGTTTCTGATGATTCAGCAACAGAAATACCAACCAACCATGGTTTCCGGTGGGTTCAAAGTAGTGCGAACGGATTCCAGCCATCCGCAGTACCAACAGCCAAGCTGGCACAGGCTGGTCCTCTTGCCAGTTTTTCGGGTAAGACATGCTTGGCATAAAAGGAAAACCTGGGGGTCCATATCGCCCCCACGCACGCGATACGCCATGTAAGGTGCCATGTGGGGAAGGTAGTCTCAACAGGACCTGACGGACCCCTTTTACAGTTGCAGGGCCTTCGTCTTTGGGACTCGCTCGATGCAACTTATTGCGCGGCGTTTTCTTGCTAGGCGGGGTCAGGCCCCAAAAGCAGCAACAGCTATTGTAGCTAGAAAACGACTCTGAGTGTGTTGCCAAACCCCAAAACCTGAAATAGGGAGTCCTCCAGCAACGAGCCTGGGTTTTCGCAGCACGTATCCGCATCGGCTGAGCCCCAAAGTTCATGCTTTTCAAACGTCGCCCTTCCCAAAAAAGCTCGTCCATGGGCCGCGTGTCAAAGTGGAACCCGCCAGATGGTCGGTGTGTTGTTGGTTCCACTTCGCAACCGAAAGGCGCCCTCAAAACTGGGCTGTCCTCAGATTGTTGGGCTATGTTTGTGTGTGCGCGCCATTTTTTGGGGGGGACCGACGAAGCCCAAAAATGATGGGGGTCCCCGACTCAGATGCCCAGTGGCCACGGAAAAACCGACTTGTTTTTTGGTTGGTTGACTTTAAAGGGAATCCCTTCCCAACAAAAAGGGAGAAAAGGGCACCACTGGGCAACTGGGCCGATATTGAGACATTCCCAGGTGGAGAATGGCGAAGGCCGTTTGCATTCCGCAACTATATAACCATACCCGGCTGTTTTACACCAGCTGTGCGTCAACTCTTCTTGCCACAAAACCACGGGAGTCCCGCCGGCCCGAACTTGGAAAACCGCAACCCCCCCCCCAACCCTTATACCGCCCAAGGACACAGGTATGGGGATTATTTATTTATTTTTGTGAGGCTTTCCTCCCATTGCTTGATTAGTGCGGGATGGAGGGTCAGAATTGGTCAAGTTCTCGCTAGCTGGTGTACTTCAGGCACCTCTGGCGACAACAGCCCTCAAGGGCGCGAAATTCCGAAGAGGCCAAAAAAACACAACGAAACCGGCTTGTGCAGCGGTTCCCCCCGCAAAAAACCATGAACACGTCTATGTAACATGGATTGCAGCCACACCTCGCCGCTAGGTTGGTGGATGTGGGCTGGTGGGTGGTGTGGGTGGGTGGGTGATTGCTTGGTTGGTTGCCTGGTCGGTTTGTTGGTGGGTTGCTCGGTTAGTTTGTTGGTGGGTTGGGGTTGGTTGGTGGGTGGCTGGGTAGGGTTGGTACGGTAGGCATTGCCTTTGTGTGCCTTGACAGTTTTCTTTATCAGCTTTCTTGTCAGGAGCCTGGCCTAGCCTCATCCTAACCCTCAGAATCTGCATTTGTTGACCCAGTCTTTTGGCTTGTCAGCAAACTGGAAAATGCCATAAACCCACCAACAAACTAACTGAGCAACCCGCCAATAAACCAACCAGGCAACCAACCAAGCAACCACCCACCCACCCACCAGCCCACATCCACCAACCTAGCCAAGACAGCTGAGGTTTGCCACCGAAACCCCAGCTCAGTCCTCAAGGCCTTGCCTGCAGCTCCTGGGCAAAAACTCAGTTCAGCTGGAAAAAATGGGAACCCTGTTTGGGGAAGAAGATGTTTAGTGGGGCAGCCGCTAAAAAAAAGAAACGGGTGCCACTGAACAACTGAGAACATGATGTGGATCTGAAAGTCAGCCGAAACCCAACGTCAAACTGGCGTGCAACCAGCTAACACGACCACATAAATCCGAAACCAGCACGACGCGGGTCCCGAATTCCTTCCAACACATTTCGGCGTTTCCCAGTGGAATCTCCACAAGCAATGCCAACCACTCAAGACTTTAGGTAACTTTGGCCATGAACTTCCTCCCATGCGGCCAGTCTTACAGTCAGCTCGTTTCCTGAGGTAGCGTGCCATGGGAAGACTTACAACCAAATTTTTGGCTGGGCATGGAGCCTAGGAAACATTCACTGCGGACGAGCTAGGGCGCTCGTTTATCGGCTTCTGCGAGCAGCGGGTTGCGGCAATTCACCCATTCACCACAAGAAAACAAAAAACAAATACAACGACCCCTCAGAAAGGCACCTGAATGGCATAAATCCCCTTGTCCAATAGATCTGGATATGACAAAATGTTCAAAGCCGCTCCGACATTCACATGGTCCCATTGAGGTGTGCAAGGTCAAGTGAAAGGCTAACCGCTAAGGTTTCCTTCAAAGGACTGGACAATAAAACGTGGAACTTTTTGCTCCCCTTCAAAGTAGTCTTCCCGGGGTCATGTGGAATCACACCCGTAGTGGCGGGTTCCCAAAAGGTGCTCCGGATCACAAAGCTGGGACCTACCCCTCAAAAATCAGCGCGGTTCCTGCATTTGCTAGAGTCCCCTGAACAAACATACGCAACACATATGCCCGGTAGTATTCAGCAAATGGATCACGAGCCGCTGACAAAACCGTTTGGCCAAGGCGCCATGCCGCGAACGTTCCTTGGCAAAGGTTTGGATTGGTGGTTTTCGCTGAGTTGCCACTTTTGAAGGTCCAAACCCGGAAATGGAGGGATTCCTGCCCAACCCGGCTACAATGTGCAAGTGTGATATCCGTGATACCTGCAACGTGCAAAAGAAAGACCACGGTTAAACATATAGCTTAAACATCATGTCAAATGGCGGCAGCGCATTCCCCACAGCGCAGCAGCCAAGCTTGTATCGCCAGCCCTGAGGCTATGTTCCACAAGGGGCTTATTGTATCCATGATTCATGGCTGGATTTAGGACCCCTTTGCAAAAAAATGAGATCTTTCTTGCCCGGTGGAAAACAATGGGAACCCCTAAAAAAGCAAAAACAAATAAAGATAGGGGAACTAATGATCTAGCCTGTTCGACATCCTGGGGGCCTAATCGCAATCCGTAATCCGCTTAATCCTTGTGTTGTTTGGTATTCCGCGCTTCAAACTTTGGGTCAAAACCGTATGTTGGAGCATGGAAAATCCGTGCACCCCATAATCCACAATCCGCAAGCCGCATAATCTAATCCGTAAACCGCACAATCCGTAATCCGCTAATCATTGGGGATTAGGCTTTGAACAAGCTACATTATGGGGAAGTATTTGCGCGCGTCGTGCACTATCTGGTTTGAAACCAGGGATGCATGTGTGTAAGCGGAGTGAAGATGATTTAAGTGGCCCTGTGCGCAGACTCCCCTCAGCCCATATCGACACATGTGCGAAGGTTGCTGTTGCTGGCCAGTGTTGCAAGCCTCGCGTGTGTTTGTGGGTGTGTGTGTGTGTGTGTCCGTGTGTCGCGCGCCTGTGTCTCTGTGTGTGTGTGTGCGCGTGCGTGTGCGTGTGTGTGGACTAGGGCAACCCCCCCCCCACAAATCGTTGCTTTGGTTCCCGCTAATCTCTTTAAGCAGCATCGACAAACAGCGCTCCCTTCCCTCTCTTCCACATCACCCCAAGACGCAACACACCCTATTGGTTCAAGAGGTGATGTTTGAACTCGACGAGGAAATGTAGGGACCTGTAGAGTCTACACTGTTTTTATTTACCACTAGAATTGTTCAAACAAAACCTTAAAAGTCCAGGAAACTCAGGAAGTGAGTCAAACTTTGATCCATTCAAGTAGAATGGCTGCCTGCATTCGAACTCACATTGGGCTTAACACCACAAAACAAAAAACAAAAAACTTGCCAGCGCTTCCAGCTGCCGCTGTAAACCCTACTGTGGATGGACAAAATTTTGCAGCACCTTCCAAACCCTGGAATGATGATTCCCCCACAAATACCAGCACATCATGATTTCCCCTCGTTTCGAAGTGGTGCAAGATTTCGTCCATCCATAGCAGCAAGCAAAAAAATATCCACTCTTGAGTTGGCCATGGCGGTTTGTTGGTTGGCCACACAGGTACGGTCTGGCTAAACGCCTCTCCGGGGGTCGGTTGGTCATTGAGCCCTGAACCTAGGAGTATCGACACTGCGAACCTTAACTCAGTCGCCCAACGCCGACCTTTTAACCTTTTGGTTTTCCAATTTTTGCTCTATCTTTAGTAAAGGCCCCGAAAGGTATCTTTTATTCCTGTGTCCTCTGTGCGACTGAGTTAAACATGCTTGCGACTTCCGAGTGCTTCGAGTGTCTGCAGGAAGCCAAATATTTTTTCCAGGCAAGAAGCAAAGCGTGAGTGCGGCACCGCCAAGATGCTGTGACAAACACGAACTGCAACAGAACTTAAGTCAAAAAAGCAATCCTGTCCACATGAGCCATGGTCAAAATCTTAGCCTCCCGCAAAGGGCTTGGGGGAAGAAACATATCCCGAGTCCCCCCATTTCTTCCCTAAATGGACCACTAGTGATATGTGGGTGTTTCTCAAAACCATTATTTCCCTGCAAGCGGTTGGTTTCCTTTGGTTTGGGACCCTATGTTGACCCAGTGCTTCCATTTAACACTATAGTAGGTAACCAGGTATTCTTACCTGTAGGTTTCCCCTGTTTACCCTTTTGTGGCAACTGGAAGAGCACCATTCTTCACCCAGTCTGACCCCAAAACGGGCATCCTCCAGTTTCGGTTCCATCTTTTGTGCCCTTTGCCAACCATCCACATTGTCAGCCCTGGAAAGAAGACACACCTATCTGTTTCACATCGGCGTTCAGACCCGCGCTCCGAGGGACGCCTGGCCCTGGTTTTTCTTGCAGCAGCCGCAGGCGGCGCACAGCAGGCCCCAGCAGCAGGTGCAGCAGCACAGCAGCCCCACTGGGCGGCTGTTTTTTTTCAAAGTTCTTGACCCCCGCCGAAGAGAAGTTGAAAAAAGTAAGCAAACAAAGATGAGCAACAAACGTTGTTTTTAAATCCGAAAAATATGAGCAAACAAAAACAACGATAGGGCCAACAAGATCCTCCCCGGAAAATCGTTATACACATAAAACCAATGTTGCTTTGAGGATGAGGTGCCCTGATTCAACCCCCCCCCCCCTCGCTAGATGAGGTTGACATTGACTTTCAGGCTGGCGAGCCAGCCTTGGATTTGTCATTGGCTATGCCCATTGAATATTGGATGAAGCAAGGCACCAGCCGTAGTGCTTGAATCACTGGTGTGGGGTTTCTGCTCCGGAGCCATCAAAAGCTGGGTTCCCAAAATATGGCTTGAAACGTCCGTGAACTGTATGCCAGGGCCGCATCACGAGTTCGCCACTTACCACATTGAAACGGCTGCTGCATGCTGTGCTAGGGGGTGCCTCTCGGTCAGCATTCTCCAGGTTTTTGGTAAGGTTTTGGTCTCGCTCTCTCAAGTGGATGTACAGGCGGTGACCATTGGGAGTGGTGACGGGGATTTCAACCATCCGCCATCGAGGCGAAGAGGCCGGCCCGTTTCCCCTCTCCAGAGATCTGGTGACTGCAGGTCCCCACAAAAAACCCGACCCAACCACAGCTAGCAGTAGATGTATGTCATGAAGCCCCACCCGTTCGGTCCAGGCTACGAGCGCCCTGGATGATGGAGAAAGTCATCCTCAATCAACCGGGATGCCACACATGTCGATTGGGGAGAAGTGCAGGTAAATACTTGCCCTAGGCACTTGTGGGTTTGTCAAGCTCTTGGTGCTGAGCGCAGCCGGTTTTTACACGACGTGCTCATTTCGCACCCGGAGACCGGCGACTGTCTGAAGCAAGGCATGGGGGTCAGAGGCTCCGTTTATGGGGGCAACCCTGCTTGGGACTCATACATTTAACCACTTCAGCAAAGCGAGCAGCGCCACATCCTCGCACTGAAGAGCTGTCCATGCGATAGATGTCGCGGCCCTGCTTCCAACTGTCACAATGACCCAGTTGACCTTGAGAGGGGACCGAAAGCTGAGAAATGCCTTCGCCGCCTTTGCACCAGCCTCAAGTCCTCCACCCCCGCAAATACAAACCTCCAATGATTCTTCGGGGCCAGCTGATCGGGAACTGTTCCTCACCGCCGCACACCATACTTTCAACAACACACAAAACAAAAGAATGCTGCCACAGAACAACTTGTAGGATGTCATCCTATGCTCCGAACCACTTCCTCCCACGTAAAAGGATAAAGTGAAGGGACACCTGGTCAGGCATGGTGAGATGGTGGGGTGGTGAGTGCATTTGGTTCAAAGCAGGTGGCCTGTAGATGTTGGCTAGATGGTCCTCAAAAGGATTTGGCTTGACTGGTCCTACTTCGACATAAAAGGTCAGGCTTTGGGGGCCACGGCTAAAAATGGAAAAGAGGAAAATCGGCTTCGGACAAGCGAGTGCTTGTCACTCACTATGTTTCCTTTCGGCTTTGATGGCAGGCGTGGGGCGCCAGGGCACTCCGTCCCACGAATTCAGAAGATTGACCCAAACCAAATCCGCAGCACCCTCCCGCCAACAATGAAGCTGAGAGCAGGGTTTGGCAGACTACTTTCCTTTTGGTGAAGCCTCTCAAAAAGTCCTTTTCCGTGATTGTTGGAACAAGGCTACTCTTTCTTGCCAAGATTCCAGCTCATGCAAGAGCTGCCAAAGCACCTGTCGCACATCATCACGAGCATCTTCTGGTTGCCCGCGTTGATTTCGTCTCAGCGCACATGGATCAGGTCGCTACCGCGTAGGTTACCCCCCTTATGACACATGCGCCGCCTGGGGAAAATTCGTGATTTCCTCGGGCTACTAGGGCCTCAGCAAGGAAAAGGAGCTTGTAGGGAACATCACTACCAATAACAAAACAATGCATGTAGTCATTTGGCACCTTCACATGCTTTCACTTGCCATACCTCGAGCCATAAATCCAACGGCCTAAATTGAGACATGCCAAGAGTCAATGCCCAAGACTACTCACCGGCTGGGACGGCTCGATTCACGTGAGCCTGCGCCTGAGTTTGCGCCAGCATTGTAAATTCCAACGGAACCAAACTGAGCAAGATCGTGAACGCACGGAATGGCTTGTGGATGTGTAAGAAACCCTTTGACCAGTCATGGAGATGTGAGTGTGCTACGTGCATAGTTTTTCCTGTCAGCTGGGGCCCAAACTGACTGCCTGATGCATAAGATTCGAGGTGCATTGCGTTAGGACTGCAAGGGCAGAGATTAGGACAGGCCTCATTCTGCTTCAATAGGAGGATTGTCCTGCTTCACGATCCTTTATTATGGGGTGTGTTTTCCACGAATACACAACGCAATGTGAAAACCAGTCGCCTACCTACCACAAGCAAACCGGCAGGCGGCTCACAGGCTGACCGATACAAACACAGACACAGACACAGAAGACAAAGCACAGCAGGAAGCAAATTGAAAGGCTTGGGCCGTAACTATTTGGTTGGGTTCTCCTCACTGAAATGATGGCTTTGTGCCAAAATGATCCTGGATGTGGTGTCCTCGCCACAACAGTTTATTAAGATGATGCTCGTGCATCGGAGAGTTCTTAAGCCAAGATTCTGCACGACACCCTGCCATAATGTCCCAGCCAGGGCTTCTGGTAGTCACAGCCGGCTCCTCAGTCTTCAGATCAAGACCCAGCAGGCGGCCAAACAGGGTTGCCTTTGTACCTGGTGTCTGCATAACCCTGAAAAAATGGGGCCATTACCCAAAATTAAGGGGTCATGCATGGAGACTCTGGGTAGTTTATTCTCCACATTTGACCTTTGTTGTTCTTGATCCCACCGAGTGTCCTCTTGGCGGACGAACATGTCATAAAACAAACTCAATTCCTGAGTGGGCTGGCAAAAAGAAAAGTACAAACATTACCACGGAAATGTTCTTCCCAAGAAGATTTAAACCGACGGACTGACGGAGTGATCAAAAGAGGACGATCGTCCCAACTTTTGTGGGTCACCTGCAGCTTGCAGTTGAAACCGACACTGAAATATGAGCTGCGATTTGATTCGTTCTGGAATGGCGATTGCACCCTGGCAAGCAGTAGCAGTCACAACCCAAAATCAAACAATAATGAACGCTTTCAGTTGAAAACAAGGGCTAGCAAAAATCGAATCATTTACATTGTGCGATGCACTCCCGCACCACGGACAGCAGCAATGCACTAGCAGGCCGAAACGAGATTCAGGCTAAAGGTCGCACAGCACTGGCCCGTGCCCTTGCCGCTCTGTTCATGTCTTCTAACCCAGTTCGGTGCATGCAAGTTTGTTGGCTCGCCGTGGCTCATGCGGTTAAAACCACGTATCACGGGGTTCGCATGGAGCTCGACAGCAATTTGGGGGGGGCGCCTGCAAAACCTCACGTGGGAACGCCATTGGGGAATAAGTCAGCGCAAACCCTGGAACCCTCTGAATGATTCGGGGTTCGCACAAGCTTGTTTGAATTGATGACGTCTCGAACCCTAGGAACAAAAAAACTCGCAGGGGAAGGAAAGCCATGCAGACAAGCCTGATCCAGTTTGGCACGTCCATGCTTGGAAGCCAAGGCAACAGATATGTTCAAAACATGGGAGTTCAAACGAGGCTACGCGGCCCAAACCAATGCAATGGCCTCTATTATCAAACCACATGAGTTCCAAGCAAGTAGGCAATCAAGATTAAACATTCTTACAGCAACCCTCGCAACCAGTATCAAAACACGCACAAAACATATAGTGAGTCGTATCTTCCCGGGCAAATTGCCCTCATGCGGGCCCTCGTCAAACCAAAAAATCAATCTCCAACATGGAACCTGAACTCGCCTAGCAAAAGGGAGGCCCTCTGCAGACAGCCAATCACCAAGCCAAACAGCTCTTCAAACTCTTAGCAGCTCATATAAAATACGGAAATGATGTGTTCAGTCGCACGCAGTTGCCCCCCGCTTCGCAGCATCCGAGATGGAGGAAACCCTGTGAAGAACGGGAAATGCCGCCCATGAGCTTTGTGCCTAGCATATGCCACTCGAAAATTGCTGTTGGTCCCTCTGCGAAAAGTTCGGCTTTTTGTGGGTCCAATGGAATATCCGAGCTGGATTCCCAAAGGTTAAAATTTCCAAAGATCCAACCAAAACCCCAAAATCCCAAAACCCCAAAACCCCAAACCCCCAAAACCCCCAAACCCCAAAACAAAACCGCTTTTTTAGGTTAGTCCTTTGGTATCTTGGTGCTTCGGATCTTTTCCGCGAATTTCCCCCCAAGGCTTCGCGAGCTGGAGGCACGTATGCCGGTCTTCGCGAGGTCGCCGTTCACAAGTTCCACCGCTCCGCCGGCGCACTCTGGGATGCCCTAGGCATGTGGATCGATCAGCTTTTGGGTGCTGATCGCACATCCTTCGCCTTTGGCAAAATCAGGATGCAGTGAATACACTTGAACATTGCAACTTGTCAATGGAGGTTTCCAACTTTTTTGGGTGTGGAAAAAGCAACCTGTTTCAAATGGTTGCAAAGTGGGCATCTTTGAAGGAGCCCTGATCAGCCCCCTCAACAGAACCAGTGGTTTACAAGGCCCGCCGGAGCGGCTGGCCCTTTGCGCCCCTAGCCCCCCACATGCCGATGGCTAGGAGGGAAACACTGAAGACCCTAAATCACAACAACATTTGACCAGCTACACCAAGGGATGAGAGGGCATGACAAACTTTTGGTGCCCTGGTCCAGCGGTAGTGCCAGACTATGTTGACCCGGGGTTAATAAACCCGTGCCAGTATTAAAGGGATGTTCCCTCCAAAAGCGACTACAAGGGGACCCCCCTATTAATCAACAAGAGGGTTTATTGATCCGGGGTTAACATTACGCAAGGCAGACCCCCTCAAACCAACCCGCTGGTCGCAGGCCAGTCATCACAACAGTCTGCCACGTAATAAGGCACATAACTACACTATACCAAGTTCAGAGCTCTCTCGCAAGTCCCATCTGCACTGGGCAAGAGCAGGCACAAAGAAAATGCACAAGCCTGAAGTTTAAGACTGCAAGGCACTACGCCAACCCGGCTCTTCTTTCAAGCGCATGTCTTTGAAGTTCTCGACGGGTCGAGATTTAATGCTGTTTTTGCTTCTTTTTTTTTTGCTTTCCGTCCTGGCACTAAATTGCTGCAATTTAAGGCATTTTCTCGCGAAATGTATGTATTTTACGCGTCCGTCAACATCATCAGCATCGTTTTCAACATCCCCCGCATGTCCAGCCAACACCCCCAGCATCACCAGCAAACTGGCTTCCCGCATCCCATGGTAAAAGTGAGGGTTCCATTAAAGGCGCGGGGGGGGGGGGGGGGGGGGGGGGGGGTTGGGGGGGGGGGCGGCAGCCTCCCTTGGGGGGGGCGGCAGCCCCCCCATGATGATCGAAAAATTAGGGGCAAGGAATCTAAAAAGTAGCGGTCGCATGATGATCGAAAAAATGATGATTCAATTAGGGGCAACAAGTCCAAAAATTGCGGGGGGGTTGGGGGCGGCGGCAGCCCCCCCCATGATGATTGAAAAAGTGCTGATTCAATTAAAGGCGCGGGGTGGTTGGGGGGGGGCGGCAGCCCCCCCATGATGATCGAAAAAGTGATGATTCAATCAGGGGCAAAAAGTCTAAAAAATAGCGGGGGGGTTGGGGGGGGCGGCAGCCCCCCCCATGATGATCGAACAATTAGGGGCAAAGAATCTAAAAAGTAGCGGTCGCATGATGATCGAAAAAAGTGATGATTCAATTAGGGGCAAAAAGTCCACAAAATAGCGGGGGGGGGGGGGGTTGGGGGGGGGCGGCAGCCCCCCCCATGATGATTGAAAAGTGATGATTCAATTAAAGGCGCGGGGGGGTTGGGGGGGGGGGGCGGCAGCCCCCCCCCATGATGATCGAAAAAGTGATGATTCAATCAGGGGCAAAAAGTCGGGGGGGATGATGATTGAAAAAAGTGATGATTCAATGGGCCAAAATATATGTATGTATATATATATATATGTGTATATATATATATATATAAAAAGCAGCGGGGGGGGCATCAGTGCCTCTGCGCCAAGGCCTCATCCTAAAAGTGAGGCCGACAAACTAATCCCTGTAAAACAGCAGCCAAAGAATCTAAAAAGCAGCTGTCGCATGATGATCAAAAAAGTGATGATTCAATTAGGCGTGCAATTTAATCGAAAGGGGGGTGGCGGGGGGCACAGAGAGGAACTTGCGATGCTGAGGATGCAGGAAGCCAAGGCCGAAAAACCAAAAAGCCAGCGGAACTGGGGAACTGTGAATGCAGAGGATGCGATATGAAAAGCCACAAAAGCCTCAAAAACCCACGTAAAAGCCACAAAAGCCAAAAAGCCGAAAAGCCACCCACCCTGAAAAACAAGAATAATTCCTTTAAAAAACGAAAAAAACATCCTAAACAAATGGCCCTCCGTTCTCGACCCTTGACGGTTCTCCTCCTGACTGGCTTCCGGATCGGAATGAGGTCGGCTAAGGGAAGTTGTCAAATCAACACTAGCGCCTGGCACGACTCTCAATGGGTTCCTCTCTCTTTTTTTTCCTGTAGTCTATTTTAGTAGGGGAACCCAAAACCCCAACCAAAGAAGGGGTTAAAATGGGCACCTGGCTGGGGGACCTAGGTGAGACACGCGAATCATCTCTTCCCGGCCCCGGCCCCAGATAGGACGGAGCGGCTTTCATGGGGAAGTCGGCGAGGCAGGCCCCTTGCGCAAGCTTGCCGGCGGCCTGGCAAGCCATTCTGTTTTTTGCACATGGGCTCGTCTTTTTTTGAGGGTACAACGGTTGTTGGTCTTGAAGGGAAACCGAACACATAGGTTTCAAAGGGAAACAACAAAAAAACACCAAACCACATCGTGTTCTGTTTATTTTTCATTTTTTGGGGGTACCCCAACAAAACATATCTATAACTATAGGCGTCCCAAAAAGAAGTGATTGACACTAAATGTACGCAGCTAGCTCAGAAGTCACTTTGACTTTGCTGGCTATCGGCCTGGTGAATAGGGGGTGTTAGCAACCAAGCAAGTCCCCTTTCACTTTCTGCGTGGGATGGCCGCCGAAAAACTCCAGGAACGTTGCCCCTAAAAAATGAAGAAAACAAAAGGCATCCGGATCCCCTAAATGGGACACCCAAACATTGGAATTGTGACATTGAATGAGCACAAGGCAGCGAACCACACAATCGTGTCTGAAAAGGAATCAGCGTGGTCCCAGCAACTCTGCAGCTTCCTGAAAAGCTTTCGCGCGCCGAATATCGATCCTGGATGAAACGACCTATGAACCGAGGGAAGTGTAGGATCCGCATGGACGTACAGTTGAACTACTCACAAGAATGTTTGTCCGCCGCTCTTTTCTTCAGTTGCGGCTTTGAGCAATAAGTTATCATAACGAGCGATTTGCGAACAATGCGAACAAAGGTGACAAATTGTCGGAGGATACGCTTCCACTGGTTGAACACGGTAAGCTGTTTCTCCAAAAATAAAGGGTCATCTCCAGGTACTTACCCAGTGGGACGCTAAGCTGATGCCAGCCATGCTCGTCTAGCCCTCCCTCGTCCTTTCTGCCTGGCACAGGGTGTCGGAAACGCCTCAGGCAGGCAACATATGACCTCTCGTTGCTTTTTGCTGCAAAGCCTTGAGGGGCCGAACACACCCAGTCCAATCCATTGTTAGCTTCCTTCTCATTTTGGAGCCAAGTCATCTGCCCACGGATCCCAGAAAACCACGGCTTGGCTCTCAGGCATACCAGGCAAATAGAGGGTCTGCCCGTCCGTGCCCTTGTGGTTTCTGTGTAGGGAAAAATCCAACGTCTGAAGTCAGAATCAACACCGATCGGTATTTCGGTTGCTGTTGACCCCCCCTGCAAAAAGTAAAACTTTTTGGGGGGATTTAGTGGAAAACCCCCTGATTCCCCAAAAAGTTGAAGTCTAAAGATCCAACCCAATAGCAGTCAAGGTATTAACGATGTAAAAAAGCAACAAGGCGGCTGCTCATTTACCCGGGTTTAGATTGCTCATCATAAGGTTTGGACCACAGGAATGGCTCCATACCGAATGCTTTCCGTTCACTCCTAGCTGGACCTGGCCCAATGGCCAGGCACTGAGGCCACTGAGGAATTTGGTGGAAGCTTCTCATGGATTTCGAAGACGCCCTGGTCGGCACCTAATTGCACCCAAAAAAGGGAAACCACAAGGAAACAAAGACGAAATGGACCCCAAAATGTCAAAAGCACTCTGGTATTTTGCGTCCCTAACAAGGAAGCACCTCTCCAAACGAGAGGAGGTTGCATAGACACGTCATGTCCACTTCCTATCCCAACTCGAAACAAGCTCGAATTAAGTCTCACATCGACGTTGTCTCACTCCAATGAGGAAAACGAACCAGACCAGGAAATACAAACAAGGCTGCTGTCAAAGTACATGGCTGCGTGCTCGCGGGAAAAATGTGATTTCCAGTTGGGGGGAACAAAAACTAGAACACTAAACTAATACTAGCCATAAAGCAATACTAAGACTAAACCACTTGTGACACGCTTTCAAGCAGCTTCCCGAATAAATGCTCAAGGCGAGTGGTCACTGAAGCTCCATGATAAATCTCGGGTAGGAAACAAATAAAACAACCCCCCCACCCCCCTGGGCCCGCCGTACAAATGGCGTGCTAAGAACATACTACACTACACTAAACTAACTAAAGCTAAAGCTAACCCAACACTAGACGAATAGCAACCAAGCCAGCAAAACAAACTAAAGCCCCACACGGCCAAAATTATTCATTGTTGACGTGCCTTAGAAAAACGGCATCCCAAACGATTTTTTGCCCTGGATGCTGATGAGAAGTAAATAGCAATGGTCTGAGGAGGGTATGCAAAGCCTTTTTAAGGGTCATTCAACTCTCAAGCAATGAGCCGCTATATAGTCACAACCTACTGAATTTTGGCCCATGGCAAGTCACAAAGGAGCCGCAACTGGAATTACGGCATTCTCCAACCAAGTCTGTTGACCCCCCTGCAAAAAGTTTAACTTTTGGAGGTTTAGTGGAAAACCCCTTGATCTCCCAAAAACTTCAAGTCTAAAGATCCCAAGCCAATAGCAGTCCAGCCAAAAAGGAAGCCCCTTCATGGGCAGCTCGTCTTACCCAACTCGTCATCGCCCCCAAAAACTCCAAAGTTCTCGATTCGAGCCCCCAGGGGCCCGACTGGTCAAACTCAGGGTGTCGTTCCTGTCGCAGCGAGGTCTCAAATGGGCCGCTCAGAAAGCGAAAGCGTCACACTGCTGATGACAACCAAGCGTTGCAGCTGGACGAATTCCCGCCATTCACCACGAGCTTGTTGCTAAACTGCTTGCCTTGTGCTTTTCTCACTGGTCATTTGCACCAGATAGTGGAAGCAATGGGTGAGCACCATCCGCAAAGCAGCTCGCTGGTCTACATATAAAGCGCAACAGATCATACCGAATGGCGAAAACAAACCCAGTGCCGGGCTGATACACACACAAAGATAAATCCCATTCTTTGACCATTCTCGGTCACCTCCCATGCGATCGGCAACATGAAGAGAACTCTTCTGCTTCTGACAGCAACTGGAAGCAGTCAAAACCATGGGCTGATAGACAGGCTGCCTCCTGACATGCAACTGGCTCATCGACAGGAGTGTCAAGCAAGGGCAAGGCAAGTGTGCAAACAAGTACCCATTCACCAGCTGGAAATCAATCAGGGTGTTGTCAATCGTGGGTTCTGCTTATTTGCTTGCACTCATTGCTTTTTTGGTCCTGTCAAGGTCGCCGAGGATTGAGTTTGAACAAGGAGTGGCACCGCCGAGTAAATTGGCCAACGACGGTTTGGTGGCAAGCACGAACAAACGGTTGCTTGGTTTTGCCAAGCCCTGAAAAAGTGAGTGGTCAGTCCATGAGGTTGACTCGTTACAGAAGTCTTTCACTGAAGCTTAGCCTTGAGCAAGTGAGTGCTGACTTATGTGCTTTTGTGCCCACGTTTGTGCATGATTCATTTGCAATTGGAGGGACTCTGGGATTCGAGAAGCAGTTTGCTTGCGGCTTGCGGCTGCCCAAACTGGGCCACGTAATGAACAACGCGGACAAGCATAGGGAAGATGAGGGACATGAATGCCTAGAGTCTCCATGACCCTTAAAAAGTGGGTCCATGACCCCTTGATTTTGGGGAATGACCACATTTTTTCAGGGTCATGGAGACTCCAGGTGACCATTTAGCAGTCCATGATTTGAGTTCAGTTCGGTCACCCTTGGCTTCGGGGATAAGGGCAGGTGACATTCCTGCCTCGAGAGCTTTTGGCTAGCCCTGCTCACACTATCAACCCGCCCAGGCCTCACATCCACAAGGTCGGTCAGAATTTCCTCAGCCACAGCACCGTGCAGCAAGACAAAGACGGCCTCAGCTGACATCCTAAGATTCCAACCCTCTGAATAAGGCCTAAGGCCCATTAAAGCAACCAAGGGGAGAGGGGGTTGTATGTTACCGACGGATAGATAGCGATGCTGGGTGCGAGGTGTGCGAGCGTGCGCCCAAAAGTACATCACACCCTTCAAAAGGGACAGACCCCTAAGAACTGAAGAAGGATTGACAAGGATCCTTGCATTATGCACCTGAACATTGCAACTTGCAAATGGTGGTTTCCATGTATTTGGGTGGAAAAACAACATGTTTCAAATGGTTGCAAAATGTATCCTTTAAGGAGCCCTGATTGATGAATCGGACAACCCGCTTGCGAAAAATGGAAAGCGCATTGTTCTTGCAAGCGGGGCCGGGCATGCGTCACGGTTCTCCACGATCCGGATCCGCGGCAACATCCCCAGCATCCGCTGCAACAGCAGTAGCATCACCAACGCCCACGAGTGGCACAGGGTGCGCGCCATCACGAGCAACGCAACCAGCGCTGGCGTTGCTGGCAACAGCATGTCTGCCAGAGGCAACCAGCTTGTGCCGCCCGAATGCTGACAGAACCCCTGTGGACAGAAAATGCTTTGGGGGGCAGTTGGCAACACAGAATATGCAGCTACCGTGGTATCGACCCAAAGGCTGCTTTCCGTCACTATACAAAATTTCAAAATATGTCGATCAATATCCTAAGGTAAGGGGCCCCAAGTAAAGAACCTTCGTCATTCAACAGGAACAAAGGATGAACTCCATCCCCTGTGCCGCCCAAATCCCTGCCACGGTAACCCGTATCTCCGACAACTGGGGTGCACGGATGCAGCCGTCCCCCATTTGGTTGGTCCCGCTCATTCCAAGGGGCGAAGCGGAACATGGCAGATCAGATTTCACAGGGGAGTGACGTGCTGCGAGCCGAAATTGCTAGGCATGGAACATCTTCCAGAAAGCTCGTGGAAGCACAGCGACCGCTTCATCTGACTTGACGGGCGGTTTAAAAAAAGAAAAGAAGAAAAGCCAACAAGAATCAAAGTGTCAAGCTCCTACCCTGAGAAAACCAAAGCAAAGCTTAACCATACAGTTTGAATGCGTCCCTTAACCCAAAAAAAAGGAAGAAAAAAGTGGCCGTGGCCCAGGCCGTCGGGCTCATCAATTGGTCGATGCATTGTTCTGGGTAGGGCCCCTGAGATTCGCCTGGTGGATGTGGGGAGAGGGGTGGCAGCGAAGGATTCCGTTGGAACGTCCGCTAGAATCAACAAATGAGGAAGCTCGGCTTCCTGGAGAAACCAGGCAGTCGCATGGCCACTTTGCCGTAACTGCTGAAGAGGCTCGAAGCCGCACCCGCGCACCTTTTTTAAAGAAGGCCTTTTCAGCACATACGCGACCGAGGCAAGCACGGCCCATTTGGTGCCACGGCAAGGTGCGCATGTGGAACTGGTCCAAGGCGACTTCATGTCTAGGATTGCCAGGTGTGAGTAAATTTACTGAGTAAATGCAAGCTGCCCGAAATGGATGCATATGGATGCATCGTAAAACGAAGAAAAAAAGGAAAAAACAAAAAACAGTTTGCACCGAACATCAGCTGACAAAGTAAACTCGTGTGAAAGCCGAGTATATCGTGATGATATGGAAACGGCATTTTCAGGTATGGGGTTTGGAGCTATGACACATTATATATCCCACCTGTATAAGAGGTATATAATATCTTACAAGCCTATATCGGTCCGCAACATTGTAAGCATATAAGCATATAAGCATTCATACCTCCAAAACCCATCACCTGGAAAGGCAACCCTGAGCTGGGAAATGGACTACCACCGCTTCTTCCGGCGCCGGGGCTGGTTGCGCCTGTCCTGCTGCGCCTCAGGAAAGCCCGAGGTACCCACATGGCGCCAGTAGCCTCGGGAGATCTCTTCTGGTTTCGCTTGGATCCTAAACCCTAAACCCTATGGTTGCAGAATGGAATGTCAACGCTCCGAATTCCATTTTTTGTTCCTCGGAAACCCTCAAAATCATATAGTGGTTGTTCATGCAACACGCCTTCCCAAAAATGGTTTGTAGATACGGTGTCTTATCATCGGCCGAAAGAAAACCGGATCGAGCCATGAGTGGATTGGCCTGAAAACATCCAAACTTGTTGTTTACCCCGAAAATGGGCAACCCCAAAAACTTTTACTAAAGTCTCGGAACGCAGGGAGTGAGGTGAGGGAAACCAAAGCTCTACCCTTTTGCTAGGTCATCTTTGAAGGCTCGGAGCATCACCGGGTGGCGCACTGCCGGCTTCGCATGTGCAAGTTTGATCAAACAAGCTCCAAGACTTGGCTGCTGCAACGACCCCTCTGCAGAAAGTGTGTTTTTTGTTTATTTTTGTTTTATTTTTTTAAATGCGGGTCCAATAGAAAATCCTCGGTTCTCAAATCGAAAGTCCAAAGATCCAACCGAACAGCCGCCTCTATGACTTGTTCCCATCCAAAGAAAGGCTTGGACTTCCATTTCCGGGGTTCCTGCAAACACGCCCATACCAACCGCTAGAAGGATGTGGTTTTGCGAGCAAAGGCGAAAGGCCAAGAGCCAAAACTAAAGCCAAAAAAGATGAAGCCGGCAAGCAAGTCCAGAAACGGCTCCCCATACTGTGGATGGTTGCGAAATCTCTTTTGCACCGTTCAGAAACCCTGGTTTCTGATGATTCAGCAACAGAAATACCAACCAACCATGGTTTCCGGTGGGTTCAAAGTGGTGCGAACGGATTCCAGCCATCCGCTCCGCAGTACCAAAAGCCAAGCTGGCACAGGCTGGTCCTCTTGCCAGTTTTTGGGGTAAGACATGCCTGGCATAAAAGGAAAACCTGGGGGTCCATATCGCTCCCACGCACGGGATACGCCATGTAAGGTGCCATGTGGGGAAGGTAGTCTCGGACCTGAGGGACCCCTTGTACAGTTGCAGGGTCTTCGTCTTTGCGACTCGCTCGGTGCAACTAAGTGCGCGGCGTTTTCTTGTTGGGGGGTCAGGCCCCAAAAGCAGCAACAGCTATTGTAGCTGCATGTTTTGCCAAACCCCAAAACCTGAAATAGCGAGTCCTCCAGCAAAGAGCCTAGGTTTTCGCAGCGCGCAACGTTCATGCTTAAAACATCACCCTTTCCAAAAAAGCTCGTCCATGGGCCGCACATGTGTTTCTCACCCCCCAATAAGAGGAAACAAATGGGCTTGTGTCAAAATGGAACCCGCAAGATGGTCGGTGTGCTTTTGGTACCACTTCGCCGCAGCAAGCAACAGAAAGGTGCCCTCAAAACTGGGCTGTCCTCAGATCCCCCGCTGAAAGTTTAACTTTTCGCGTGTTAAACGGAAATCCCCACTAAACTGAAAAGCTAATTAAAAAGCTAAAAGGCTAAGGGCATGGCTGGGAGCCACCAAGAAAATATACCCATACCCAACGGAGGACAGAAAGGTGCCGTCAAAATATGGACACACCCGCACCCAAAAAAAATTTAAAAAAAATAACAATGCTAAGGGACTTTTCGTGGGTTAAATGGAAATCAGGGGACTGGGAGCCACCAAGAAAATATACCCATACCCAAACGGAGGACAGAAAGGTGCCGTCAAAATATGGACACCCCCGCACCCATACCCGAAAAAAATAAAATTTTAAAAAAATGCCAAGGGACTTGTTTTTCGTGGGTTGAATGGAAATCAGGGGGAATGGGAGCCAAGAAAATCTACCCAAGAACTTCTTCGACCACTTCCCCTCCCGGTGACTTTTCCCGAGCCGCTGCCCTCGCGGAGCTCCAAGCGTGGATCGCCTTTTTTGGGCAGCAGCGGCAGAAGTTGGCGCGGCAGCCGCAGCAGGTTGCGACCAGACGAGCCGTCGTTGACCTGGATGTTCACCTGAGTCAAAACTCGTCGATGAAACAAGTCTCTGGGGCTTCAGTCCTTTTCCGAACTCTGTTCAAGCCATCCTTCTTTTCGAAAACTCGCTGTTTCCCCGGGGGTTCTGATGGTTTTCTACAAAGAAGGGTCCCTGGAAAGAATGGGGAAGTGTCCCCTAGAAGGTGGCTCCCCGGAACCATGCTTCAAGAATTAGAAAGGCGGCCGTACCCATTCATGGTTGGGCCTATTCCCTATCTTCATCTACCCGGGTATTGATTGCGGCCCTGGTTTCGAAATCTGTTCTTGGAAGGAAGGGTGTTTCCCAAAAGGGGCACCTCAAGAGATAAGTTTCTAAGAAGCTACGCAAGCAATGGGACTCTGCGGCTTGGTCCTTTCCCCCAAGACTGAAACCGGGAAATCCAGCCCTGCCTGGGTGTACGGGTTGTGAAAAGTATGGCCAGTTCCTTTTTTGGACTTGCGCCACCTGTTGAAAGGTGATACCAAGGACAGCCTTTCGGTTACCCTGGAATCGATGCTGTCTCAAGGATCCGTTTTTGGATTACATGGTGAATGCAAATACGTGGGTAAGTAGGGGAAATGGTGCCAGCTGTCTAAACACTGACCCAACAAAGACTCACGTCCAGGGTTTCCCCCTATCCTTAAGGCTCACTTGGCCAGTGACCGGCCAAATAAAAGTGTACACTCTTTGGGCCACCACTAGTAAAAAGGGAGAGCCACCAAGGAAAAAAGTGTAAAGTGTGTCCACTCCAGCTCACCCCCCCTCCCCTAAGCCCCCACGACATAAGTGCAAGCAACAGAGCCCCTCCGAAACCTTCATTATGGGTAAGTTTACCCCCAAGTGAGCTCGCTGCAATTTGAGAGTATCGCGAACGAGTAGTCCAGGATGGATCTCGATGGGGGCTCTCAGTGAGGAACGACCCAGGGATTTGGAAATGAACTCAGGGGCCTGAGGCAAACTGCACTTTGCCCCTCTGGCCGCACACCGGGGTCCCAGATTTCCCTTTCCATCATCCCCATGATGCTCACACTGGCTTATCAAGGGGGCACCCTTCCCGCTACAGCACGGCAACGGGAGCTACAGCACGGCAACGGGAGGGCCTTTTTTTTCTCGCCTGACGGTCAACGCTAAGGGCAAGGGCCTCGCAAGGGTCACAAAAAGTGGTTGCCTACCCTCCCACCAACTAAAATGGAAGTGCAGAAATTTGCCCTTTCCAAGAAGAAAGTAGTCTTTCTACAGGGGTCTTGTGCACTTCCATGTTGGCTGGCGGGAGGGTAATCCCTTCTACTTATTTCCCACAACCATGGACCAAGTCCAGGAACCCAGGACAGCACCGGTCTCCCCTTTTCGCATCTCGGTGGTTTGCTGCTCCCCTGCTAAAAGTTTAACGTTTAGTGGAATGGGAAGCCCAGTAGTTGGCAAAAAGTTAAAGTCCTAACGTCCAAGCAACATGCAACAAAGGCATCAAAAGGCGGACGCGCGGTTCACCCGGGGGCGTTGTCAGCATCCTCAAGCAGGTCTCGCTCGTCCCAGATGGAATGCGGAAAACAGGTGACACAGGAAGCTCATTCAGAGTCAGCGGCAAATGCCGTGCCTTGCGGTTCACCCGCACGGTTTCTTTCAGCTCGGGGTTGGTGACCTCGAACTCCCCGGAGCTCTTCACGAAGAAGCTGCCGTATGCCTCCACGAATTCGGGGAGAAAAGCTCCGCGAATTCGGGGGGCTGGCCGAGAGGGATCAGCTCCTCTTTAGCCGAGCTCAGGAAAATCCCCCGGAACCCCACTCCATGATTAGAGGTAGGCCCAGCTATAGAATCTATATTTCCATTGCTTGCTCACTTTGAGAAACTGGTGAAATGCAACATGTATCCTAAGTCTAGACAGGACTCAATCCAAACCACGTGGTGCAAAAGAACTTGGAAGTCTTCAGGGGCTGCCAGTTGCCACCAAGCTGAGCTAGTCGCTTGCCAGCGGGCTTCTTGGCAATAAAATAGAAGGCTTGGACGCGTTTGCGCGCGCACCTGTTGCAGGATGACTCCCTTGTAAGCTTCCAGAACTGTTGGGGCCTCGTACAGCGGTTTCTTTACACAGTCTACCGCGATCATGTGAGCACGTCGCCAGCCTCGAACCAGGGACTGCATCCTAGCTCCATGCCACAAATGTGTGCAAGAAATCAGAGACTGGCATTCACAGAAAAGAAGCCTCGGGACAATGTTTTTTACCCAACTCTCGGCAAGTATGCTCAAAGCAGAACGCACACCTAAGATGCGTCGCCAATGCTTAAACAGGGGTTCGACGGCCTCTTAAGCTGCTATGCGTTGCCAAAAGCACGGTGGGTTAGGCGCCACTACTTGGCAAATGGCCAAGTAAAGCAGCCCCAATGAAAATCCTGCTCGTCATTGATCCCCTTTCTGGCTGTTGCTTCATCTTGGATTTGCTCGGGCTATGCTGTGAAATGGCGCGGCCTGCGATCCGAGCCTGCCATTCCCAAAGCGCTAAGTTTAGGGCTCCACCTACAGCCACCTAGCCATGCAAGGAGCCTACCCAAAGCCATGTAAAAACAAAAGCCGCATCATGGAGCCTTACATCGGCTTCAATCCTTTTTAGAGGGATCAGCAACCCTCTCTGTTGTGCATAGTTGCGAAATCCATTCCGCACCACCTAAGAAACCCTGGAAGGATTCGACCCCCTGTGAATGCCAAACACATGGTTCAACCATGGTTTCAACATGGTGTCCAGGCATTTCGTCCATCCACAGTAGGTGTCCCTGGGTGAAGTGGGAATCGTTGTTCGTGGCTAAGTCGTTGTTAAATCGTTGTTCGTGGCCCCTGGAAGTGGCCAAACCTACGACGACTCAGGCGTAAACTAGGGTTCAAACCTGGGCTTGGTCAAAAATCTTGGGCCAACCTTACCCCTCAAAGGGTTGGATACCTTGGCCCGGGGTTTCTTTCGGCCTTTCGCAGTCCTGCGCCCTATGGCGCCTGGTGGGGCGACAAAGGCAGCAGCTCCCGGGCCTTCAGCCAGCGGAGCTTCTCCGCGAAGCCGCTGCCTCGGCAAACCGGACCCAACCCACAGCCAGGCCTTGGCTGGGACTACCCCAGCACAACATGAGATCCTTCTTGCCTGGTTGGTGGAAAACACGCAGGGCCCCGAAAAAGCACACAAGAACGAGCTCGGCAAAAACAAGTTGTTCCCCAATAGCTGAAAGCTAAGGGGTCTCAGCCCAGATAGGTTTGGGGGTGGCTTGGGGGAGCTCTGACTCAGGTTCGAGCATGGCGCAGGCCAGGTGTAAGGTTCAAGGCAGGTTCCGAAGGTTCCGGGTGGTCTGGTGCAGGCCAGGTGTAAGGTTCAAGGAAGGTGGTCTGGCGCAGGCCAGGTGGAAGGTTCAAGGCAGGGAGGTTCCGGGGTGGTCTTGGTGGTTCTGGGTGGTCTGATGCAGGCCAGGTGTAAGGTTCAAGAAGGAAGGTTTCGGAGGTTTCGGGGTGGTCTGGTGCAGGCCAGGTGGAAGGTCCAAGGAAGGTTCCGAGGTTCCGGGGTGGTCTGGTGCAAGCCAGGTGTAAAGTTCAAGGAAGGTTCCGGAGGTTCCGGGGTGGTCTGGTGCAGGTGTAAGGTTCAAGGCAGTTCGGGGTGGTCTGGTGCAGGCCAGGTGCAAGGTTCAAGGCGGAGGTTCCGGGGTGGTCTGGTGCAGGTGTAAGGTTCAAGGCAGGTTCCGGAGGTTCCGGGGTGGCCTGCACCGGCCAGGTGCGCGGTTCAAGGAAGGTTCCGCAGGTTCCGGGCGGTCTGGTGCAGGCAGGTGTATGGTTAGGCCAGGTGTAAGGTTTAAGTTTCGGGGTGTAAGGTCCAAGGAATGTTCCGGAGGTTCCGGGGTGGTCTGGTGCAGGCCAGGTGTACAGTTCAAGGAAGGTTCCGGAGGTTTCGGGGTGGTCTGGTGCAGGCCAGGTGTAAGGCTCAAGGCAGGTTCCGGAGGTTCCGAAGTAGGTCAGGGTAAGGTTTCAAGGAAGGTTCCGGAGGTTGTGGGGTGGTCTGGTGCAGGTGTAAGGTTCAAGGCGGGTTTTAGAGGTTTCGGGGTGGTCTGGTGACGGCTAGGCGTAAGGTTTTACCAGGGTTCCACGAGGGTTCCACGACGTTCTGCAAGGGCTGCGGGGTCTAAGAAACAGCGCCGCATGCTGTTGGGGATACCACCTGAGCTTATTTGCCCGGTAGTGGAAAACAAAGGGAACCACAAAAAAGCAACAAAAATAAAAGGGGAACTAATTCTGGGGAAGTATAAGGTTTGGCTGTGGTAGATTTTCCACCATGTTAGAAATTTCTTTAAACAAATGCATTAGATGGAAAACGACCGTGTAAAACAAACAAACAAACAAACAAACAAACTATGAGACATGAGTCCTTTAAGGCAGACCAGAGGTAATTGCAAAGCACCCTTTGTATTTGCCCAGAGTCTCCTTCTGACCCTGTAAAAATGGTTGGTCATGACCCCTTTCTTTTGGGTAATGACTCCACTTAAAAGGGTCATGGAGACTCCAGCTAGAAACAGGCCCATGAGAATACAGGAGCCGTCAAAGAAAACCCGTGACCTCGCAAAACCCGGGTCCGCGACTCGCTAGAACTCGGAGCTTGCATGAGCTTTGTCCTAACCCATGGGAAGGGGACTTACGACCATCGGGGTAACCACCCTGTGTTGGTTGTTTCCCCTAGATCGACTGGGTCCCTGAATTTACAACCGAAAACAACATCACCAACAAAGGAACGCACCGCTGATAGAAGCCACAAAAGTGTAGTGTGACCCCTTGCTCGCCGGACTTCTACCCATATGTCGTGTCTAATGCAAATTAATTAATAAGCACACCTTCCTGGTATGGGAATCCACCAAGGGTCCCTCTTAGAGGAAAAGTGTCTGTCGGGCCTCAGGCACCTCCAAGCGTAGTCTTCAAATCCGTTGCTTGGCCCAGATTCGCCAGATCCGGGCGAAGCCTGATTTCGGTTCATATTTCGCCTCGTTTCGCCTACCCCAAAACCTCAAACATTTGGCTTTGGGTAAAAGCCCTGTAGCCCTGAACATCAAAATAGGTGGCAAATGGATGTTCATCCACCCCAAAATGGAGCCATAGGTTATGCCCCATGGCCATCTTTCTGGAGACCGCAGCCTCCTCAGACCAAGTTTCGCACCACCTCCAGCGGAGCCTGGGCGTGATGGCAGCAGTCCTGCCAAAGCCGGGAACCGGCGGAGACCGAACAGGCTTTTGGTCTTGCGAGGTAGCGACTGATTGAAAACCTGGCGGAGGGGGGGGGGGTTGCGCAAGAAAGACCAGCTACAGACAGTGAAGTAGATGGCACTGTTCCTTTTATTGTTTTCTGTCTGTAAGCAAGGAGGAGGATTGATCAACATGTCCACCCCGTCTTGCTCGGACAGGTGTAGTTTGACCATCGCTCACGTCAACTCTGGATTAGTGAACTTTGTGGATTCTTGCGTGCTTACCTCTACTTGAAAGGGATCCTTTTTTGAGCAACCTGAAAAGAAATCCAGGGGAAAGGCAATAGCATGCTGACCAGCTGACCAGGTGGAATCGGAGGCATCGGCTGTTCAGAATGGCAAAGCTCTTGCAAAATTCACCCCTCTTGACTCCCCATTGACAACATGAGCTTATGAGCGGTCCAAGATGGCTCGGTATTTCAATGGGTTGTTTCGGCCTTGCTCTCACCAGCATAGGCCAGGCAGTAGAACCTAGAGTTCTAAGGGTTGATTCCCCATTCTTTCGTCACACGCGCACTCAGTGCAACTATCGGTCTTTCCAGCCGGTTTCGGCTCAGTTTTTGCTTTTTTCTGCAGCGAGCACTGACGCATGCAGAAAGTTGTCCCGCGGGCTAGGGGTAAGGCCAATAGACAAGAAGACCCCTTCCCCTGACCTGCCAAAGTCATGCCGCTGCAGGCCATCGATCTCACTGGCAGCGTTCTGTTTTCAGGGGCATCTACAACCATCGTTCTTTCCCCAGGGCCATCGTTCTTTCCCCAACCATCGTTCTTTCCCCAACCTTGATCTTTCCCAACAACCATCATTATTTCCCTTCTTTCCCCACCCCATCATTCTGTCCCCCAGCATCGTTCTGTCGATCAAAGGTCAGTGTGTCCCTGTTAATTGTTTTTCGCTTTTGCATCTGTTTTGGGTGAAAATTGGAAAGCCAGAAAGAATGGGGAAGTATTGTATGAGGCCATATTTTCGGTTAAAACCCATTCTTTCCAAGCATCCAATTTTCTAGGATTTCTGGTCTTTCCTCCCGAAAGTGATGACAACTGCTGCGTGGGCCCCCATTGAAAGAATGAGGAAGTGAATTGGAAGCTTGTGGAAAATTGGATCGCGGGCACCACTTTGGTGGGTTGGCTGATGAGGGGCCCGCGGTGCCATCAGGAGGATGCTTCAATGCTTGCTGTGAAGCCACGGGCTTTATGTTTGTCAGTGTCGCCTTGGCAATGATTCATGACATGGATGTGGGCAAAACAAGAAGGGCAAGGCTGACCGCCCCTGCTTGGGAGAGGCCTGGTGGGCTGCTGGGGGTCGGCAAAGGGAGAGAATGGGAACAGTTGAGTCTTAGCCTTGCTTGGGTGGACTGCTTCGATGGCAATTGTTGTTGCATCCATTTTGGGGGATAATTGGGTTAGCTCTTCAGAATGGGGTGGTGTGGCTTAGAAGAGTGGCCAATGGGAATCGGATTTGGGCGCTGGTTGTATTTGGGGTCGAAAGCCACCCCACCCTCCGGGTGTCCTGCACGCAGTTCACGCTACAGTCGAAGGCCCGCCACAACAGCAGCGCGGAGGCTTCCGCCTACAGGGATTTCTCCGACCCCATCGGCAGGGTTAAATGTTCAGGGACCTTGATTTCATTGGGTGCCCTGTTGAATGGGCTCTAAGAAATGAATTCCTTTAGGGTGCTACGCTTTGCAAGCTGAAAGCCGTGTGCTGGAACCTGTCTGCTGCCCCCCTGGTAGGGAAGACCAACCGAAACCGGCTGGCCCTATGGTGGCTTAGAAGTGGAAGACAAAAATGCACCTGATGAAAGGACACCAGGGGAAGAAACACTAATTTTCCTTTGTGCCCTGACCCCAATCCACGCGTTCCGCCCCACAGGAAATCGAAACAAGGACGATTCAACCTGCGGTCCATATCCTGATTCAATTTTGACTGCCAGCCCAGCTCCGGGGCACGCGGATCTTCAGAAGCGTCGCCCCGGAACTTCCAATGGTGATCCATTCCCTTTGAAGCCAACCAGGGAAAAAACACGTACCAGTAATTTCAGAAAATGGAACTACTCCGTCGACCTAAGAAACGAAACGAACACATGTTCGAAGAAATTAGGGGAACCAACGCCCGGCTCCCTGAAACCATCGAGGTGAACATGGTGTCAACAAATGCAGCTAGAGGATCCCGCCTTCCCAAAGCATCTGCGAATTCAAGGCGATCACCTTTTGGAACCTATGCACCAAACCTGGAAAGCCAAAAGGTCAAACAGTCACTGGATTTACCCAAATCACAAGTTGCAGTTTACTGGTGGTTTCAGTGGTTCCCGACCCCCCAAAAAAAAAGAGCGACTTTTGGAGGTCCAAGGAAAGACGTAGAGGGACCCCTGTCAATAGCTCCATGCGCTTTGGGCAGCTGTTCTGGGTGGAGCTTCCCCATTCTTTTCAAGCACCTTTCTTTTCAAAAACCAGCCGTTTCCCCTGGGATTTTGATGGTTTTCAAAAAAGCAGATCCAGCACCCCAGCACCCAGGGGCCTCGGTGTCGAAGAGCCCGGCGCGGCAGTCGAAGTGGGCCAAGGCGTCGGCCGGCAAAACCATACCCCGCTCCTCCGCTCTGACAAGGACTGGGAACATCTTACATGTGTATATATATATATACATAGATTCATGACATGTAAGGGTAGCAACTTTGGGCGTTCACGGATGCCAAAGGGACTATATCTGTGTTCATGAACATATATTACACATACATACACATGCACATGTATACACATAAGTATGTTTGTTTAAGGGTGCCTCTTTGGGGTTGGCTTGAAGGATGCCAAAGGTAAGCAACACATTATTGGGGCCCCTACTTTGGCACTTCGAAGACGCTTCATAGTACCATCTTACAAAATTACAAGGGCTAAGATTTAGACGACTTGACAAGGCATTTGAGATTTGTCCGGCTTCGATTGAGTGGCCAAGCGCTTTTTCGGACCTTCTCAAAGCTGGCAAATTCCAACTTACAGACTTTGGACGGATCGATTGCTACCGCGTTGTCCGTAGGGGTCCGGTATGGGCTTCAGATCTCTGGGAAAAACGGATGCTCTTTGATCCGTTTTGTGCGAGCAGACAAAAACGGAGAAGCAGCCCCTGGGCGAAAGCTGCCCATGAAGCCCACGGACCTTCACAGGCTCGAATTGCGGCTCGCCTAGGTTTTTGAGTAGAGAGGTCCGAACAAGGGTACCAACTTTTTCGTGTAGTCTATGTTAAGAGGGGAACCCTCCCCCCGAAAAGGGGTAAAAGTGCACCACTGGGGGACCTAGTCGCTTTTGGGGCCAAAGGCTTACTTGTCGGCAGCGCATGCGTTGGCTCCTCCAAAAAGAGTGGCCCCCGCGTAGCTTTGACTTCTGAGATAAAATCGGCATTCTTCAACATGCATGCCAATTGTAATCACCAGGTGCACATTCTGCTTCTGCTGTT